CTCCTGGGCTCAAGTGAGTCTCCTGCCTCAGCTTCCCAAGTTGCTGGGACCACAGGTGCCCGCCACAACGCCTGGCTATTTTTTTCTTTGGTTGCAGCCATCATTGTTGTTTGGTGGGCCCGGGCTGGATTCAAACCCACCACCTTAGGTGTATGTGGCTAGCACCTTAGCCACTTGAGCCACAAGCACCAAGCCTCCAGAAAGTTTTCAAATGACTTTGCCCAGATTCATCAAAGGAATCTATTAACTATGGCAGCTACAGCTCTATGAAATGTAAGACTTGCAAGTCAAAAGTACTCCTTGACCCACGCGTTACAGAATGAACACTGTGTTAATGGGCATGAAAACAGCAATCTCCTTGTACATCTCCATCAGAGCTCTTGGATGACTAAGTACACTGTCAATGAGCAATAATATATTAAAAGGAATCTTTTTTCCTGAGGAGTAGGTCTCAACAGTGGGCTTAAAATATTCAGTAAACCATGCTGTAAATAGATGTGCTATCATCTAGGCTTTGTTATTCCATTTTCGAGCACAGGCAGAGTCAATTTAGTATAATTTTTAAGAGCCCTACGATTTGCAGAATAGTAAATAAACATTGGCTTCAACTTAGTCATTAGCTGCATTAGCCCCTAACAAGACAGCCTGTACTTTGAAGCTTTAAAGCCACACGGTGACTTATCTCTAGCTGTGAAAGTCCCAAATGGCATTTGCTTCCAATAAAAGGCTGTTTCATCTACACTGAAAATCTTTTGTTTAGTGTAGCCACTTTCATCTAAAGATCCTTCAGACCTTGTGCATAACTTGCAGCAGCTTCTCTATGGGCGCTTGCTGTTTCACCTTGCACTTGTATGTTATGGACATGGATTCTTTCCTTAAATCTCATGAAGCAACCTCTGCTAGGTTTCAACTTCTCTTCAGCAGCTTGCTCACCTTTCTCAGCCTCCACAGAATCTCTGATTAGGGTTTGGCTTAAGGGAATGTTGTGGCTCATTTGATCTTCTTTCCAGACTACTAACACTTTCCTCATCATCAGCAATAAGGCTGTTTAACTTTCTCGCCATTTGTGTGTTCACTGGAGTAGGACTTTTAATTTCCTTTAAGAACTTTGATTTTGCATTCACAACTTGGCCAACTATTTGGTGGAAGAGGCTTGGATTTTGGCCTATCTCAGTTTTCAATATGCTTTCCTCACTATGCTTAATCATTAAAGTGAGCAATGTAGAACTCTCCCTTTTACTTGAACACTTATGAGGCCACCACAGGGTTATTAATTAGCCTAATTTCAATATTATTGTGTCTTAGGGAATACAGAGGCCAGATGAAAGGGAGAGAAATAGGGGAATAGCCAGTCCATGGAGCTGTCAGAACACACATGGCATTTATCAATTAAGTTTGTTGTCTCATGTGGGCACATGGCACCCTCCAAAATTACAATAGTAGCATCAAAGATCATTGATCCCAGATTTCCATAACAGATAAAATCATATGAAAAGTTTGAAATATTGCAAGAATTACCAAAACATAACAAAGGGATACAAAATGAACACATGCTACTGGAAAAATAATGCCAACAAACTTGTTTGACACAGGGTTACCACAAATCTCCAATTTGTAAAAGGTGCAGCACCTGTGAAGTGCAATAAAGTGTTTGTATTTGCCCAAAACTTGAGTCAGAGAATGTAGAGACTGATGCTATGTAGTTACTGCCAGATTGTGAAGACCAGTATCAATGAGGTCCCCTGAAATATATCCTCATGATAAACCTCTGTACGAGCTCCCACTCCCAACCCATAAACTCTGAGGAACTGCATGCACAGCTCCTCTGAGAAGAAAGAAGCAAGAATACTGCCTGCACAGAGCCTGGAATTTAGAAGTGACCTCATTACCTAGAAGGAAAAATCAGTCCTTCATGGGGCCTAGCACAGAGCGCACCGACTCCTATTCCAGGGTCTTTCTACTAGTTATTCTCTCTCTGCTATGTTTCTCACAGCATCTCCACTGTGAATTGCTTATGCCCAAGAGTTTGAGGTTGCTATGAGCTGTAACACCACAGCACTCTACCAAGGGTGACAGAGTAAGACTCTGTCCCCACAAAAAAAAAAAGAATGGTGAAAGAACAACTTTTACCAATTCCAGTCCAGCCCAACTTCAAACTCCAATTGTTCATTTTTCTTTTTTTATTAAATCATAGCTGTGTACATTAATACTATCATGGGGTACAGTATACTGTTTCTATATACAATTTGAAATACTTTCATCCAACTGGTTAGCATAGCGTTCATGTCTTTTTCTTAGCAATTGTTCATTTTTTATTCCCTGCTGTGCAAATACTTTTTTTTACTATTGTTCATTTTTTATTCACTGCTGCGCAAATACTTTTTTTACTTGTGTACAAACTTAATGTCGATTCTACCTTCACTCAATGTCTGTTTAGTTATTCATATGTCTCCTTTATATTGTAATGTCAGTCTCACCTATCTCAGTAAGTAGGCTCCTAAAAGGAGGATATGAATAAATAGCTGACATTTCTGTTTACAACTAAATACAACGAAACTCATCAACACACAGCCCTGTAAAAATGAGAGCTAAATATACTACTTTAACAGCAGAAAGGGGGGAGTCAACTTCATAGTTAACTCCTATCAAACTACTGATGGACCAAACCTAATGGAGGAATTTCATTATTACCAATATTATTGAAATAAGAAAAAAACAAAAAACCCCATAATATATATTATTTTTTTAAATATCCAAATAGGCAATGGTCAAGACATAAAGGTCCTAGAAAAGGAAATGGCCGTACTTCTAACTTTTATGATGAAAGTCAAACACAGTGGGCACAAGCCTTCTCATTCTGCACACTAGCCTTGGAACCTACCTGCTCAGCAAATCTCCACAAAAAAACAGCATAAGTCCAAGGAGAAAAAGAAGGAGGAGTTTGGGGTCAAATCCTGAAATAAATAAAGATTTTTGCTTAACAAGGGAACAAAACAGTTTAAGGTATTATAGAATACAAGGCAATGTTGACATTATTGGTCAGCTACAGTAAAATAAATGAAATAGCCCACCTAGATAGCACTGTGAACCCCATACAAAGCCTCGGCATGCTTCCAGGGTACAGTTAGGTCTCTTGTCTAACCTGCACTTGCCAGAAGGCCCTATTTTTATTTTGGCCACCTATGCTAAGAAGAAAAGGAGCCAACCTCCACCTCAAAAAGAAATGGGCACAGCGCCACCAGTACTTCATGCAGCTGCCCACAAGGGGTCTCTACCACTCCTGCTTTCAAGCCCTAACTCACTCATAATCACAGAAGTCAGCAGATTTTTGCCTAGGATTTTGGGTCAGGGCCTTGTGTTTGCTAACAGGTTGCTTTGCTTGCCCAACAATACCACCTACTTTCCTTCGCTACACAGCACTATGCTGGAAAAGCCCACACACAAGCACATCCCACCCAGGCCTGGGGAGCCCAAGCAGAGGCCCCTCAGTGGCTTGCCAGCTACTTCCACAGCGTTCATATTCACAAGCTCTAAGTCCTGGAGAGGCCCATGAACAGAACTGGTGCTGGAGAGATCAGAAAATTTATAAGGAACACCAAGAAACAGGTCAGTCCTACACAACCAAAGAACTGTGGAACCCCAGGACAATTAGAAGAGCCTAACCTATTTGGGAGCAAAACCTAAAAACATTTCTACTACTCACAACATCCCAGGACCCTGGGTAGCAACCAAGTCAAAAAATATTCAGGATCCAACTCCTCTGAAACTTTCTCACACACCTTCAGAGAAAGGAAAACTTCTAGATCCGTTGAACGAGACTTAAACTGCAATGGTCTTCATCTTTAATTAAGTTCCACAAATATTCTTTTTACTTGTCAAGCATTAATATTTGATTTCATGCCTTCAAATGTAGACCCTACACATTGGGACAGCTACCTTTCTTTTTTATTTATTTATTTATTTATTTATTTTTGCAGTTTTTGGCTGAGGCTGGGTTTGAACCTGTCACCTCTGGCATATGGGGCTGGAGCCCTACTCCTTTGAGCCACAGCCACTGCCCCCAAGACAGCTACCTTTCTCTAGAAGTATCCAGAAAGCAGAAACACACTCTAAGAATGTTTGGCATATCAGCTCAGGACCATTAGCAATAGTGTTAGGAATATGAGACTTCATAGTTTGAAGTAAGGAGGTACTCAGAATTTTCTCAGGGGAAATCTCAATTTTAAGCCCAAGGAGTTTCATGTGGGATACAGTCTCCATGAAATGTGTGATGTATTAGTGCACACAAGGTTATGATCAGAACCCAGAT